GTGGGGGGTTGCCAAATAATTTTAATACTTAATATTACCAAGTTACTTCATTATGAAGCAATTTTGCTACCTAACAGAAGAAGAGGAAAAGTAAAGGACACACACCCACATACACTGAGGTTAAGCAATCTATGATCTTTCACCAGAAGACATTTGGTCTTTTAGGGGGAAAGAAATCTTCGCTATAAGAATTTTATTTTACCCTTTTAACTTATTTACTGGAATTTATTTTAGAAGACAAAAAAACCTTTATATGTGCATGTTACTATGTTACAATTCTTCTTTTTCCATTTGTATTCCTTTGATTTTTAACATTCTTTGGGAATCCTGCAAGTACTCTAGAAATTTATTTTACCTTTTGACTTATTTAAACTCTCTGTGTTTTCTCTTCTTTTTAAGGCAAAAGATAGTTGGAACCCCTAAACTTTTTAGAAGGTCCAATCAAGCACACCAACTAATTCTGGTCATTACCAAAACCCTTTAATTTTGTTTCAACTTCACACAGTCCATTTCATCATGTTTTATGAACTTAAAGTTATTTTCAAGGTGAAGGAGTAATTATTTTCTTTATTTGTTAGAAGAGCCCTAATTTCTATCATCCTCGTAAAATGTGGAAAAAATCGATATCCTTATATGTATGATGGTATTTACTCTTTTATGGCAAACCTTTGTGAATAAATATAAATAAAACCTTGTGAAAATGGTTATAAGATTTTGATAGAAAAGTTATTAGAGTGTTAATCTTGCCAACATCAAGAATGGATTTGAGCATAAAAGCACCTTTTCTTTCCGAAGGCAGAGGAAGTTAAGTCCTTTACAAATTATTACACCTTATGGATGCATTCTTCTGATGAAAGACCGCATTTGTGAACTCATCTTTATACAACTCATGATGCACTATAAAGACCTTTCATTTAGGATAATATGCACTATGTTTTAAGTGATAATTTGCGGTATTTTTATCGTCTATCAGTATTCAAATGCATGTAATGCCAGGAGGTATTTCATCACTTCGTCTTCAGTTACCTTGGGTTAATTATTGGTAAACTGCGGTAGTCTATTAAGTTCCTGAATGCTTCAGTTCATTGTCCGGTTTCTTTATCTAGTATGTCTAGTTTGTGTTTCTCCCATCATGCTAAAGCTTCATCTTGTCATCAATGACATAGCATGTTAGGTGATCTTCTACTTCTATATTTAAATCAATAGTAGTAGTAGTAGTAGTAGTTTCTCTATTCCCTTCATTTCTTTCTGTTTCTCCTAACTAGTCTCTAGTTTGTAGTAATTACTTTTCTTACTGTGAACAGCTTCCATTGCTGCATACTTCATTACTGCTGACAAGACAATCTTGGAATGCGCAAGGAGAAACACTCACTACGATAAATCTGCTTAAGACACTACTCCTCAGATCCTAATATGCTTATTGTCTTAAGTTGTATGAATTTGTTGATCTTATCACAAAAATGCCAGTTTGTATTTGCAACATGTATGAGTAATTTTTTCCCACAATAATCTTTTTACTTGTTTTCCTCTCTTTTCTGCCTCTGTATATCAAGGATTCGGAGTAAGAAGTGGTTGGTCCA